AAATTGAGTATGTTGTTGGGCAATTGGGTGACTCTATATGCTTGTTGGGTGCACACGTGAGTTAGATTAAATTAATTATTGGTATTGCCATGTCCTATGCTGAATGTGCATGAGCTACGTGTAAAATAATGCGTGTGCGGGCCACGTGTGAAGAGCGGTTGCGTGTGATAAATGCATGTGGAGCGTGGGCATGAGTGAAAAGGAATCGTGATGTGGCAAGTGATTGTGGGAAAGTATGTGAAAGGGGTGAAAGTGCGAGGTTGGGATCGGGCCGAGTACCATAAACTCGGGCAGCGATCACGTAGGTCTGTTGCATTTGGCACAGGCTGAGGCTTGAAAAAGCAAGTATGAGATTCGGTCCGAGGCATGATAAGCTCGGGTGAGACCGGGATTGGACCGAGGCATCATAAGCTCGGGTTCCGATCATGTAGGCCTGTCGCATTTGGTGCGGGCTGAGTGTAAGGTCGCAGTGTACCTGAGGCGTGTACGTTTACGCGGGACACTGGCGAGTGGTGTGGGAAGTGATAAGTGGTCGTAGTGTACCTGAGGCATGTACTTGTACGCGGGTCACTGGCGAGGAATGTGGATGAGACAGGATGAGAACGGAGTGAGTGCATGACATGAAAATTGTGCATGCTTGCGATTGTGTTGATGTGCCTGCTATGTGATTGTGGTGTAAGTGTGTGATTGTGTTTTGTGAAATTTCTTGGAGGTACGTGATAGCCTAGGTTGGGTTTAGGGGTGTATTTGCTGAGATATAATCTCATGGTTGTGTAAACCAACAATTTTCAGAACCCCGACCTGAGCGATGAACCCTCCACCACCGCCACCAGTACGTTTTGGAGTACCGGTGCATACGGAGTATGAGGTAGCTGAGTTTCCGATGGGTGACGGGATGACCTGGATAAGACACACGACGACCGTGTTTGTAGAAGTGGGAAAGCTTGCCTTGGATGAGAACCATTTTTGAGGTTGAACGTTAGGTCATCGACTCCTTTTTGATTTTGGTAGTTTCAGTAAAGTGTGCATTGGTAGGCAGAGGTTTGTTTTATTATATATATGGTGGAACAAGTTGAACAAAAAATGGAAATGTATATTCTCCCAATTCTCCCCAGTTTAAGTTTGTCCGGGTGTTTTATGGTTTTCGTTTGCGCGATTAAATCTCTGATGTTTAGTTGAGGTCGACGATAACCTGGGACGTCGCAACTGTTCGACCGGAGGCCGGATGTCGCGGGCTCGATGGGGGTTTGGGGCGTGACAGCCTCACTCGGCCAAGGCGAGGCCGACCTCGCCGTCGCCACCCCCAGCGATGGTGAGGTCGGCCTCTCCATGGCCGGGCGAGGCTCGACCTCACCTAGATCTGGCAAGGCCGACCTCGCCGGGGATGGCGAGGCTCGACCTCGCCCAGATCTGGCGAGGCCGACCTCGCCGTCGCCGGTGGTGGCAAGGGCCGATCTCACCATCGCCGGCGGTGACGAGGGCCGCCCTCCCCAGCGTTGGCCGGTCGCCGGTGGCCGGTGGCGGGCCGATGGCAGACTGGGAAGAAGATGAAGAACAAATAAAAAAGGAAGAAGAAAATCAAGAAGAATCAAAAATGGAAAATTTGTTCAAAAATCAAGAAGTTACTTTTTTTTGCTTCTTGATTCTGTTCTAAAACTGATTCTGGGAACAATTTTTTGCAAATTTGTGTTCGAGCACAAAAATTTTAACAAACGGATTTCTGTTCCCAAACTGATTCTGGGAACAAAAGAATATAAATTATCATTATTTGGCAAGTTGCCAAACGCCCCCTTAGGGGCCATTGCCTTGACCTGACCCAAGCCCAAAACGGGGCATGGCCCAAGTACATAGCTCACTACCTGATGGGCCATGCCTGGAACGAGCCCAAGGGTGCCAAGTTGACACGCCCATTACCCACCCCTAGATGGATATAAATAATTATTTTTTTGAAAAGTAATTGAAAAAATCAGCGTATCTGTAATATAATTTCTGCTAATATTACCATTAGTTTACATCAATTGTATCATAGAACTTGCAAATAATTTTAGGGATATGTTCACTGAAAGTCCTAAAACTTGTTGCGAAAGTACAATTGAGTCCATAAAACTTACAAAAGTGCAATCAAATCATAAAGCTTGTCAAATTGGTTCAATCAAGTCTTAAAGTTATTTGTTTTGGTCGAAAAAGTCTTAAAGTTAACACTGTTAATTTGTCTAATGGAAAATGTCGACGTGACATTTTCAAATGAATTTCTCTCTCATACGTGGCATTTTTTATTACTATTTTATTCTCTCTCATACATGGCAATGGGCGGTGGCGCCCCACCAGCAAAGCTCCTTCTCTCTTTTTTTCAGTTTTGTTTTATTTTCTTTTTTAAATTTTAGCCTTTTTAGTTTTTTTAATTTAATTTAAATAATATTTGAATATAATAATATTAATAAATGCCACGTAGGAGAGAGAAATTCATTTTAAAATGCCAAATCAACATTTTCTGTTAGACAAATTAACGGCGTTATTTTAGGATTCGAATGAATCAATTTGACAAGTTTTAGAATTTGATTACACTTTTTGAAAGTTTTAGGACTCAATTGCACTTTTGCAATAAGTTTTAGAACTTCTAATGAACATATTCCATAATTTTAAGACCATTGGAATTAAAAAATATAATGAAAATATCATTTTTTGAATTTTATAGTTATATCATGCTATCTAATGAGAAATGAAAATAAAATCATATTTATTTATGTGAATATGATATCATAAAATCATATTTGTGGTATGTCAATGATAACTGACATGCTATGCTAATTGACATGTTATACGTATACGTGAAATGTGTTTTACCTTGGCTTTGTTTGTTCTGTAGAAAATATTTTCTAGGAAAACATTTTCTAGTATTGGATCGCTAAGGAAAATAAGTCAACAAAAAAACTATGCTTAAATTCAGAAAATTAATTTTCTCTTTAAAAAATCTAAAATGTTTTTTTTTAATATGACTAAATAGCGGCACTAGAAACTTTCCGCTTGGGTACGGGAACCGTAACACTCATTCCCAGGTCCCTGGCATCCAAGACTGATTCCCCGATGCCTAGCCCGACGTTAATGGGTTGAGCCCGTGATCCAAGTGCCCGTGCCCGAGTCCTTAGTCCCTAGTACCCGTACCCTAGACTAGGTCCCGATGCCCAAACCCGTGTCCCTAGTGTTCTTGCTCGAGTCCATCGAGGCTAGGCTCGGGTCCACAAAGGCCGAGTTCAGGAACTTTATACTCGTCCCGGGATCCCCCACACCTAGGTCCGAACCAACCAGTTTGGTTCGGTTCTCGAGTGAGCCAATGGAATTGGTGGCATCAATTTTTTAATTTGTCATTATATTCTCTCATTAAATAAGTGTAATATCATCATATCAGTGTTTGATGTATGTTTTCAAATTAAACTACTACCGTAGGCTTTAGCTCTCAAGGGTTCTTATCATGGAGATACTCTAGGTGCTGTGGAAGCACAATCACCACCATCCCACATCATTTAGCAACAATTGTATGGCATTTGTTCATGAACATGCATCAAACACCGAGCTGAGGGTTTGTGTTGTGAAGAAAGGATTAGATCTTTTAATTTTTACAAATTTGTTAGAAATTAAAAAAAATATATCGATTCAGTCCGGATGGGCAGTTTTACAAATGGAACTAGAAATCAGACCAAAATTTACCTATTCCAATCTTTTGGAATTTGTAACCAGATCAGTGACGCCAAGAACCGGCCAGCATAGTCTAGTTCGGGCGTTTCTTTTTGCTCATCCCTATTGTGATATGAATTAATGCTCCGATGTGAGGTTATGAGTTCAAACTCAACTCGTTGTTCCAACGTTCACACCTCACTTTGGTAGATGAGCTTTCGACCTCTAGCACCTCGTGGGGCTATCGCACAAGCTCCCCTGCCACGACCAGTGGGTGCAGGCGATGCTAAGTGACAACCTCCTCGCAGTCACAATATTTCACGATCAATTTGGAATCTTTATGATACTATCGAGGGAAAGTAGTCTTGTCGATTGCCTTCCCGCCCCTCTTTGTCAAAAGAAAAACGAAATAAGCTAAAGTTTGTTGCACCCTATGACCTAACTCATAAAGTTTCTTTTGGCAGCATCATCGATTGCTTATTTAATCATAGTCCGGCCACGAATGTTCTTCTCCAAATCTCAATGTTTCTTCCTTTAAAAAGGAAGAGAAGAACTGGTGAGGGAGACAAAGAGGGACGCACGCTCGAAATGTTAGAGAGAGAGAGAGAGAAGCGCGTCCGAAAGCAGCGGAAGTGGGGAGCCTCAACACCACTCAATCCAATCAACCGCCATCTCTGACAGTTACTCTCCGTCTGTCTCTCTCTCTCTACAGAGGGGCAACCAAATAAACAAGAACAATGATGTCCAAAAAAAAAAAACACAAGAACCATGAAAAATACAAACAATATGATGACAAAAGAATGTAATCCCATCGTCAGCCGTCCGGACCCACGAAATGGCAAAAATGAGGAGACAGGTTATTACAAGCTTTTTGTGGGGGTGGCCGGTTTGGTTGGTGAGAAGTTAGAGAGAGAGAGAGAGATCACAGAAATAAAGAAAAGAAACAGAGCGAAAAAACATCCTCTGAGAGGGAGAGAGACGCGCCAGAAAAGATGGTCGACGACGACGGTGTCCTCTGACATCATCACCGTCCTGCGAAAGAACGAAAAGGGCAGTGATCGAAAGAGACAAGGATTGAATAAATCCTTTGAATCTTATCATCTTGTTCTTCTTCATCATCACCATCATCAATCACATTGCAAGCCTCCATATAAAAAAAAAATTTGAAGCATTTATTGTGTTTCCTTCTTCTTTGTCCTGATACTGCCTTTGGGATTCATCTCATCTCATCTCATCTCCGGCTTTACCTATCACCCTCTAGCCTCCATTTCTTTACATTAAATTTCCTCACTAAACAATTTGTTTTCTTTCCCCCCACCCCCCCCCCCCCCCCCCCCCAACCTTCTGTTGTTGCTTAGTCGCATCATTCCAAACCAAATCGCCACTCCTCGTATCAAGGAAAACAACGCAGCAGCTGCGAAAAAGTTGAGTTCTTAAGCATCCTTTTGGCATTTCTTTATGCTCAGATTCGTTCTGCTTTTGTTTTTCGGATCGCTTGCTCATGAGGGTATTCTTGTTCTTGTTTTTTTATTGATAAAGTTCCTTCCTTTTTTTTTGCATGCTACTTGCATTTTGCAGATTTGCGAGCTCTGAAGGGCCATGCAATTTTCTCCTAAAAGGGTTTTGTAGCAGAATTTTACGGAGTACAAAAATGAGGGACCCTGATGTGACCATGAAGCGGAAGATTCCACGTTATTGCATTTCTTAGAAGCGTAGTTTTGTAAATCTGTAGATGGTGGTGGTGTGTATAAGAAAAAAAAAATTGAAGGAGGTGTTTTTTTCTTCAACTTTTTTTCCCTTGTTGAAGAAAACCTGGCGAGATTGCATAGCCTTCAACATTGCAGCATTTGGTGCATCAAGCAATGGGGGCTAGATGGAACCCGCTTGGATTCCAGCTCCCGTGTTATTTGCTTTTCTTGTTTCTCGGTTTGCAAATTCAGCATTGTCGGTCTCTCAATTCTGAAGGTGATTGTCGTTTCTCTTGTTGTATTTCTATCCAAATGAAGATTCTACGTTCCTTAGAATTGTACCAAAAAAATTCCTAAGAATTTTTGTTACATGAGCAGAGAAGTGGATGTTATAATTATTGCGATCCTACGATTGTTGGTTGAAGGAAAAAGGATAACTTTCATATTCAGAGCTAGGTCCGCTAAGACTTGATGGGATCTTGTTCAACGAGTTCCACTTACTATTTTGCGTGGTTCTCGTTGGATTCTGAACAGATGATGTGCTTCGAGTAAATTTTCTCCCTGTCCATTATCATATATCTCCTGTTTTATTGAAAATGCAGGATTTGCTCTGTTGAAATTCCGTGATAAGGTGGATCTCGATCCATATGGAGCTCTTGCAAATTGGAATGCTGACGATGATGACCCGTGCGAGTGGTTGGGTGTTCATTGTGTGGATGGTGAAGTTCAAAAGCTGTAAGTCACGTTTTGTAATTCAGTTGTCAATCAAGTTTGGGGCAATTCAAGCTCGTTTTTTAGCAGCATATGATCTCAATGATTTGATAGATTAAACGAGCTGAACCAATCATGAACTCTCTCTCATTCAGCTCAACCATTGCAGGGACCTGACTGGGTTTTCTTTGGAAGGGCTGCTGGCACCGGAGCTTGGAAAGCTTAGTCAATTACGATCTCTGTAAGTAGGCCATCTCCGTATCTTTGACGTTGAGGAGATCTTACTGTATGGCATTACTGTAAAATTACACGTCCAAGAGAAATTCAGTTATATTATGTCTATTTGATCTGTAAGTTGACTTATGGTAATGCGGATAGATAGCCCGGCACTTTTATCTAAAAACAAAAGTTGCATGTGCTGGGAGTTCTTGCCTGAACTGAAGTGTTAGAAAATTGGCAGTTTCATTGTTATTCTGATAACTGATACATAAGTCTGCATTCTCTGATGAATTTTACGATGATCCTCTGTACTCCTAATAGACTGTAAGATTGATAGTTCCTGGTGTTCTAAAACATGTATGTACAGTTTTCTGGTACTTTTGAAGATTACTAGGGGTATGTTGTATTTCTTTCCACCCAAAGCTGCTTGAGATTCAAATTGCATTTTCTTTTCATACTATTTAATGAGTTATCGGAGATTTGAGAATCTCAATGTTTCATTTGACTCCATTTCTTTGGTTCATCTTCTATCGTGATATTTTGAGTTCGATGAAAGGAAATGAGTAGAGAACTTGGTGTAGTTTTCACTTTCTTGCCACCATTTTGGTCCAAGCTGGAATGAAATTAGACATGGACATATAGCAGTCCTCTTATGTCTTGCTGACACTAGGTGGAAAGCTTTTATTTCCTATTAGCTCTCTCTCTCTCTCTCTCTCTCTCTCTCTCTCTCTCTCTCTCTCTCTCTCTCTCTCTCTCTAAATTTCTTGTTTTATGTTTTTTCCCTGTTTGCATTCAGAATACTTTACCAGAATCACTTCTCTGGTGCCATCCCCGGAGAAATTGGAGACCTGACAATGCTGGAGTTATTGGATTTGAGGGGGAATAATTTGACTGGAACAATTCCAGCTGAAATAAGCAAGATGGTGTCTCTGAGATTCTTGTGAGTGTAACCTCAGAAAATTTGATCCGTAGCAATTTGATTGGTTTTAATATTTTTACGGGCTTTGTTTTGTATGGTAGGTTGCTTGGTGGCAACAAACTCAAGAGAACCATCCTTATGCGGCTTGAGGAGCTAAATGTTCTTTCTAAGATGCAGTCTGATGAAAACTTCACATTCGACATGACCGCTGGAAAAGGATGCCTGAATAGAAAAGTTGGACTCCGGTAAGAAACTAATAACCACATTTATGGATGTCTTTCTCTCAGTCATTAACTCCGAGTTTCAGTTCCAAGTCATCTGCTAGGTTTTTGTCCTCTTTTTGTTCTTTTAATCCACATCTTGGGCAGCATTTGGCAGAGCAGGTGGAAACATCTGAATAAGGCAGGTTCATTCTTTTGCCCAATGAGAGGAACTCTTTTGCGTTACCTCAACATCTTGGGATTCTCACAGTACGTAATTGGCTTGTCTTGTTAGGGTTAAGTAATCCATCCTCTTGCTTCTGCAACATAATTTTTAGTTCTTTTTCTAAGATTCAGGTCTGCTAAGGAGTCCCCACACAGCCCTGGAGACAATTTGCTTGATCATATTGCTGGTGAGTAGAGACTAACTAAATGTGACATTAGACTTAAACTTCTGTTGTTTGAAAAATGCGATTTCTCTTATTATTTGTATGGACATCGCAGAGCCAAAAATGGTCCTAAACACGCAGAATGGATTTTCATCACGCCGCAAGTTACTTGAACAGTCGAGTAATCTCGCTGCCGCCCCTGTTGATGTTGGGTCTCTCCCTTCGGAGATCACGACTGTTCCAATTACACGGAGTAGCGGGTCTTTCCCAGCTGTAACAAATGGAAAGAAGAGACAATCTAGTGCACCACCGGCCCCACCGCCTTCCCTTCCGAGCCCTCACTCTCAGAATTCATCCAAGCCTAATAATGAGTCCTCCCAAACTACTACTACAGATTCTCCACCAAGTGGACTTTCTGAAGAAGCACAGAGATATATCATCATTATTGTTCCTAGTGTGGCCGTTTTGCTCATCATTTTCGCCTCCATGTTCATCTTCTGCCGAAAACAAGGCGTGGCAACCATCGGTCCATGGAAGACTGGATTAAGTGGCCAGTTGCAGAAAGCATTTATTACAGGTGAATCCATTATGAAATACGATAAGTGTTTTGACATGTTTGGTTTTCTTTTGGATTGATGTTTAATGTTATAACACAAGACACAATGCAAACTTAGGAAATAGTCTTTGCCTTCTTAATATTGACCCATACCAATGTGATGGGTGTTGCTATGCTGCGACCAATACCTTAAAAAGAGGCTTCTTTATGTCCTTATTCAAATAATTGAACACCTTTTTAATGAAATGCAGGGGTCCCCAAATTGAATCGGTCGGAGCTGGAAGCTGCTTGTGAGGACTTTAGCAATATCGTCAGCACGGTTAATGGATGCACTGTGTATAAGGGAACATTGTCCAGCGGGGTTGAAATTGCTGTTACCTCAGCTACGGCAATTTCTTCCAAAGACTGGTCAGCAAGTGTAGAGAAAGCTTACCGGAAAAGGGTGCGCTTTTTCCCTGGTTGCGGTCATTGATCACTTGACACCTAGTCAATCGCAACTGTCTAATCACTAGTTATTCCAATACACTGCACTTGTTCTGCTTTTTTTTCCTATGTTTCTAAATGTTTGAAATCTTGTAGATTGATATGCTGTCGCGGGTAAATCATAAGAACTTTGTCAACCTCATTGGCTATTGTGAGGAGGACGAACCGTTTACTAGGATGATGGTGTTTGAGTATGCTCCGAACGGGCTACTTTTTGAGCATCTCCACGGTAAACTTCAAAAGTTGGTCTGAATTGGCTGGTTACAGGAGGACATTTGAATAGCTGAACTATATTTTTTTCCTTTTGGCTTTTAGTTAAAGAAGCAGAACATCTAGACTGGACCACAAGGGTGAGGATCGTCATGGGAATTGCTTACTGCCTCCAGTACATGCATCACGATCTGAATCCACCTGTGGCGCATACCCATCTTACTTCATCATCAATATACTTGACAGATGACTATGCTGCTAAGGTAAAATTTTACACCATAAAATGTCACCAAATTTATTTATTTTTTGCTATATCGCATTTCCATTTACTTCTTTAATATATCCTATCTCAGGTTGCGGAACAAGTCTGGTCAGGATTTCTATCAAAGTCGAAGAATGCTGATGAAGATAAGTCGGAACATTCTGAATTGCCGCCTCCTGCCGATCCAGAGACAGATGTCTATAATTTCGGAGTGATGCTGCTCGAAATTATTTCGGGAAAGCTCCCTTATTCAGATGAACAAGGACCTCTTGTCGACTGGGTAAGTTTGTGCCTGCTCTATAATTGAAGGAGGGGGTGAGGAAAGCTAGTGCTCTAATTGAATTTGTACTTTTTGGCCAAACATGAAGGCGCATTGTTTTTCGCTGTAATAATATGATCAATAAATTTGACAGGCTTCTCAGTATTTGTATGATAAGAAGAGCACAGGCTGCCTCATTGACCCTACCCTCAAGAACTTCAAGAATAACGAGCTCGACATCATCTGTGAGATCATCATTGATTGCATCAAACCAGATCCGAGGCAGAGACCTTCGATGAGGGAGATCACAGGGAGATTGAGAGATGTGATTGCTATATCACCAGACCAAGCGACCCCGAGACTGTCTCCCCTTTGGTGGGCCGAACTTGAGATCTTATCCGTGGAGGCAACCTGAGCTCCCAGATTCTTTCTATTCAGTGCCAATTTTATTTCACCGCTCGGACGTATGCTTCTCACTGCTCAGATCAAGCAAAAACTTTGGCATTGAAATAAGGTTTTGTCTGCATTTTTTACATCTCTCTGTGATTCCACTTTTCTCTCTGATTCTTCATTCATGATGCTCTAATACCGCCGCCACATAAATGGCGCACCAAGCTCGGGCTATATATTACCATCCATAATACGTATATCTGATGTATTCTTATCTTAACAATGTAACTTGCGAAAAATTTGTCGGGTTTCTGCATTTCCTTTTTCTTGTCATTCCGGAGTCCCCGTCAACAGTGTAGAAACTTCGACTCGTAACTATATTGTAATTCATTCATATCTGGTTTGTAAAAATGTTGTTTGATTGATGAATTGTTTCCGAGCATGTATTAAAACAGTTTTTTAGACCTAAATGGTCTTTACTATCTCTTGTTTCTTCAGTTCCAGTGTTCTTCATCAGAAAATAGTTAAGTCCTTCCCAACTGAAGGTTTCAGTTCTGGACCTTCTTTCTTTGTAACTTGAACATTGCTTTAACCACAAGATGAAGCATGGGAAGCTATGAAACTTGGAAATTCTTCTTTCTTGAATCTCTGTTCTCATAGATCGTTCTGTCTGGGAGCAAGTGGGATTATAAAGAAGAGGTAGGGGCAAAAGGAGAAGATTTTGTGTAAGAGAAATAATTGACAAGTCATGCTCACATCTTGAAGCCCTTTATGACAACTGACAACTTACCCTAATAGTCACTGTAGTACATAGTATTATAAAGGTATTTGTGAAGGAATATTGAGACATTCATATCACTCGATACTCTTTGATCACTTGCATGGACAGTCCCGCGGTGCTTCGAGAGCATCTTAAAAATTTTCAAGACTATAGATGAAACGAAAAGATGGCGTTGTATACAGAAGACTCTTTCTCAATATATGGAGCCAAGTATATCCTCTGGCTGTGGGACAGTTTTAGCCCCAAGAGCGACAGAGAAAGGTGCAAACTTTTGCAGTTGAGACAAATTTGGCTAATGTTTGCCCCTTCCAAAAGCTATCTTTTTATCCTTCGCAGCTCTAAATATTTACAGAATTGCCATCAAAGCTATATTTTCTTGGAAGGGAATGACACAAATGGTCATTAAATTTTGACCCAAAATGCAATATGATTTCTTAATTTTTAATTTGTTCAATGTAATCTATGAACTTTACCTTAATGTGCAATGTTGTCCTTGAACTTTTGAATTGTTCAATTTGGTCCCTAGACTTTTGGGACGTGATCAATTTAATCCCTGAACTATATGAAAATGTTCGATTCTATCCCTTACATTGAACATGTACCAAAAGTTAGGGGACCATATTAAACAAATTAAAAGTTTAAGGACCACATTCAACAAATTAAAAATTCATGGATCCTAGTGCACATTAGGTCAAAGTTCATAAACCATCCCTTCTTGGAAAGGACTTAATTGGTCATTCTTTACCTTTTATTATTAGTCTTGTTGCATCTAATTATCATCCAAGTCTCAAAACTTGTATAAGTTCTTACGATATTAAAACTTGTGTTCGAGCAAACAAAATGTATAAACTATTGACGGATAACAGATGATACACTACGAGACTAACATTAGAAATTTGTTTCGTGGGATGAATATTTAATGATGGATAGGTTCTAGTTCTAGAAAAAGATTCAATGAATAAGCAAAATAAGTTTAAGAGTTCAGAATAATTTGTTTCGTAGAAGCTCTGACATCTCACCGAGTCACAAAGATTTGCTATTCCAAAAGTTAGATCTATATTTTTTCAACCCGTTTTGGTTGTCTTCGTCTGGCAATGGCACTGAGGAAGCCGAACCTAGGCATGCATCGCCAATAGGCAACGCCGGCCGTAGTTATTGGATAAGCACTTTCTGACATGTGCTCATAACTGATTATGATTCAAGATCCAGTGATCGGCCGCCGCTTGACATATCCATTTTTATGGAATAAGTATGTGCTTAATCCTGTTAGTGCTCTATTGATCATCCTTGTTTTATGGATTTGGCTTTATTTTGTTGTATTCCGGCATTTGCTCTACTTCAATTTTCTTTGCCATGAAGGTCATTGTATTTCTCATATAACTTTTTGAGCAATTAATACAATTTTCTTGATAAAAAAAATAACTAACCATCAAAGATATAGATTCTCCAACTAGAAAAGGTTCAAAGACCTATAAATAAATCAAGAAGTTGAAAAGATTTTTGAATATGAAGATGGAGAAATAGAAATTAAGTTTAGATCGATGAAGTTGATCATTGTAGAATCAAATGACGAATAGTTACCTACAAGAAATTCATGTAAAATACCTTTTAGTTATCATGTGGGGGATTACCCAATTAGTCCTAAATCTATCGTATTGATGTCGATTCAGTTCTAAACTTTTCAATTTTGCCAATTCAGTCCTAAATTTTTCCGCAAAATTCCATTGTAATCCTTCCAATCAACTTTTGTCGGAAATTGCTGATGCGGCAGTCTAGTCAATTTTTGCTGAAAAGTACTGATGTGGCTATCCAATCATCATCGGCCTTCTTATGTGGCACAACGCCTTGCTAGCAATTTCCAACGAAAATTGGCCAAAATGATTACATTAGAATTTAACGCAAAGGTTTGGGATTGAATTGACAAAATTGAAAAGTTTAAGACTAAATTGATATTAATACAATAGGTTCATAACTGATTGAGAATTTCATTCTTACTTCGATTTATTAAGAATTTCATTCTTTCATCTCGTGCGGTTGCGGATTGTCATGTACCATCTAGCTTTAAGTCAAAGTTTTCATCCAATGAAATAATGGCTTCACAAAAGTATGTACAACAATAATCCTTCAGAAGTATGACTCAAAAGGTTGAGGTAACATGAACAACCTTGGATCAATGCTTTATATAGGTGAGTAGGTGGACGCATGAATTTCATTCATTGTAAATGTTACATGAATTATCACTACAAAAAAACACCGGATTAGCGACAAAATTTGAGACGGAAAATTTGGACAAATTCGTCGCAAATTCGATTTGCGACGACTTTTGCGACGGAAAAAATTCCGTCGCTACTAGGTCGTCGCAAAATTTTGCGACGGAAAATTTGAAAGTTCGTCGCAAAATTCGTCGCAAAATTAGTCGCAAATTAGCCACGAATACAATCCGTCGCAAAATTCGTCGCAAATATTTCGTCGCAAATTTGCGACGAACTCTATCCGTCGCAAAATTCGTCGGAAAATTCGTCGCATTTTCGTCGCAAATTTCGTCGCAATTTCGTCGAAAAATTCAAAATTCGTCGCAAAATTCCGTCGCAAATTCCGTCGCAAATTCCATCGCAAAATTCGTCCCAAAATTTCGTCGCAAATTCCGTCGCAAATTCCGTCGCAAATTTCCGTCGCAATTTCGTCGCAAAATTCGTCACAAAATTCGTCACAAAATTAGTCGCAAAATTAGCGACGAATACAATCCGTCGCAAAATTTGTCGCAAATATTTCGTCGCAAATTTGCGACGAACCGTCGCAAAATTCATCGCAATTTCGTCGTAAAATTCGTCGTAAATTTCGTGGCAAATTTCGTCGCAAAATTCGTTGCAAAATGTATTCGTCGCAAATTAGCGACGAACTGTAATGATCGCAAAATTCGGCTTAAAATATTCGTCGCTATTTTTACATCATTTCGGCCATAAATTCTTGTCCATATCAAACAAAGGAGACAATGACATATAATTGAAACAGAAAAACGAACAAACCATAGATTCTGACGGACCAGCCACAATGACATATAATTGAAACAAATAACTGAAGGAAAGTTGCAGAGTCTGAGATGATGCTATTTGATATCCAATCTTACAATACATTCAAAACATGAACTAAGAGACGGGACAACCATAGAAGACGGAAAAACCATACACAAGAAGACGCAGCTTTGGTACGATGGTGGACACCAAAAGTAGTCACTTTTGTCGAGACACGAGGAAATGTCGATACATAAATCGATCCGAATATTAAAGAAGCGTTTATGCATGGATGTGGAACTAGGTGTAAAATAACAAGAGGGTTAACAAAAATACGTTTCAGGACGAACATAAATGTTCTTACATATGAATATGAGTGAAATTATGAAAAACCAAGATTATGAAGCAAGCTTACCCCCGATTTTGAGAATTTTAACTAGAAACCCTGGAGAAAATCATCGCCATCCTCATCATCATCAGCATTCTCGGCATCAATGTGTTGGTCATCATTGTGCCCATCACCTATTGGATTGCCTGGAGGTACAGGAGGATCGTCATAGCGATTGAGGTTAAGGTGTCGCATAACGAGTCTCATTTGTTGTTTCAAGTTATTTATTTATTCATCCTTCTGAACAAGTAAATTATTCAGACGATGCACTTGTTGGGTCAATTGCTCGTCTTGTCGTGGCCTCCTTCGACCAGTCGCAGTGGATGATGAACTTCCAGGATTATTCGGCATGTACATCCTTGACAATGATCCCATCCCAAATATTTTCCCTTTTTTCACCCCACCCGTTGCCTCTATTCATAATGCCATATTATCAACTGATGGCCCGGACTCAGGACAATCATCACTACCACTAGCACTGCTCATTAAAAGTTGATCATATTTTTCCTACATTAACAATGTAGATGAAAATAAAATCACTATATATATATATATATATATATATATCTACCATAAATATTGAAAGCATTCACGGTTTTCATTATAGTTTACATATAAGTCAAAGTATAACCTTACATACTTTAACAGCTTTTGCTCGATCGCCAGTCCATGTCTTCTCTTTCTTTTGAAATGTGCATTCAAATGTAGCTGCAAATGTCGGTTCCGTCCCCAATTCTTATGCCTATAAAATGTAAATATGAGTGAATTAAATTAACTTATAACTCATTTAACAGACTTACCAGTCATTTGCGATGCTCCGCAATGTTGATAGAGCCCCCAGCATATGTGGCTGACCCATCACTAGAACTAGAAGATCGATTCTTCTTATTCTGCTCACAGAGTTGCCAACTCTGTTCAGATGCCCAAAATCTGTTAATTGCCGCCCAATTGTCAGCTGTAAAGAAAGACAGCTTCATTTGCTTGATCTTTGCTCTATTCATGACATTTCGCATAAAATCACCGTTTTTCTTATCGAAAATTCTTCTCACTTCGTTGTCTTCCGCTTCCTCCCACTTGAACTTCCGCTGCAATGAATAAAAACACAAATTGAAAGTTATTATGATGATCACATATCCATAACCATGCACCAGACAAATATAGACAGATTTTGTAAAGTTCGTGTCGAGAATAATATCTGATCCTTTAGGTATCGAAAACTACAGAGTTGTTATGATCCCTTTACATCATTCTTGACCATCAATATACTACACCAAACTTAATTGGTGAGAAAATAAAATATGTA